AAGGGTGCGGGCTAGAATCAAGCCCTGTAGCACCTACTCCGGTAAGAATGAACCCGCCCGTGATGCGGTTGCGGATTCATTGACTCGGAGGAGTTTCGTGAGGTACGAGATAATAATAATAATAAAAATAAAATAAATGAAGAATCTGACTAAAACTAACAATTAAAATAAAATAAAATAAAACAAAATCTAACTACTTACTACTTGCACGTGCCAAGTGTCGGGCCCCCGTTATAACGGAGGCTCAAGTTCCAACTAACATTCTAACAGCTACTAATCCCCAATTCGTAGGTCGCGGGTTCGAGTCCCGGCCTTCTGAACGCAAGGTAAAGTGTGACTAAGCTCCTTGCAAAAAGGAGCTAGCTCAGGGGTCGGGCAGATTCGATCCCTGAGTCTGTCGCCTAATAGTCTGATTCCAAACCTACTGAGCTAGCTCCGACTTCAAAAAGTAAGGGAGCAGCTCTAGTATTTACAGAGCTCTGGCTCAGCCCAACTAGCGGCATGAGCCTATTTCGAAGTTGAGTGTGTGTATGCTTGCCGGTCCGCACGTCTGTCTGAGTGCCTTGTCAACCAGAGTGTGCGTGCGACCCGCAAGGGCACTTGGTTGGGTATACGGCCCGAAGGACCGGTACTCACCCGCGACCGTGGTATTAAGGGTTATGGCAGGGAAAACACTCAAGTGGTGGGGAAAGAGGCCCGCGAAACCTAAGATCAGTGGAAAACTCCAGTAGCAGGTAGGTCGGTGCCTCACCAAGTAGAGGTGGACATGCCGGATACTCGAGGCCAAGTAGAAGAAGACAAAGTTGGCATTTCCAGAGGCCCAGTACCATCAGTTAGGCGGGTACAGGTCCTAGTAGTACGAGTCTAGGCCCTGTGAGGACGATATCAGAGTTTGCAACGATGTCCCCCCCTTGCAGAGGGACGAAGGCATTGGTCGCTCAGGTAGTCATGCGGTCAGGAAGTCACCTTCCAAGAGGCGACTCCCTTTCTAACTATGGGAGGCTGAGCTAGATTCTCAACCCTGCCTACAGTGCATTAGTAAGGATAAAGGTACCGCTCGTGCAAATGTCAACAATCGGGGCGCTACCTCAATCCCGATAATCATACACCAATAAGCGCTCCGGCGGTACGACCGGGGGGCGTATTCATTTATTCTGACTATGTACTGACGATTAAGTCTCTGTGCGTGTCATAGATCTTACCGACACAATATTAACCCAACTGACCCTTTGACCTCTTCTGTCGAGGAGTATTACTAGTGATCCTAATCATCACTGTTCGCGTCATAATAACGCGCGCTCATACTCTCGAAATTTCTCGCTGATTCGCCTCGGCCTCATTGGCCGAGGAATTCGGTTCGAATGTCACGCTCAGGCGTGCACACCCTTTCCGTTCCCGACTGGCTCCATCATGGTAGCGGACGCCGTCACCATGTCGAATGCAAAAACATGGCCAAATACCCTTGTAAGGGTATTTGGTCCAACATGTTATTTGTTAAAACAGTACATTCTTGTGTGTACTATTTTGAAACGAATTTATGACGCAATGTACAGTCTGGTGGTATTCCAGATCCGGATACATCTGAACCTGGAGTAAAATCAGCTTTGAGACGAGGAGCAAAGTCAGTACATATATCTACTGCGGTCCTCTCGTGGTTCGGATGTGTTCAGATGGGGAACACCACAGCAGAGTATATTACACTTTGTTATACGCCTCTGAGTCAGTACATGTATTTGCTGCCTCAGTACATATATCTGCTGCGCTCCTCTCCTGGTTCGGATGTGTCCATAAGTGGAACACCACAACAGAGTAATATAATACACTGTGTTTTAACTTCACTTGGAGTTGAGCATCATACTCATCCGAATAAGAACAGTATAATGACATGAACTCGAGTTTGTGAGGAGTACAATGAGTTGTGGCTCTTCACAGGCTTAGGGCGAGAGAGACAGAAAGAGCGAGAGAGAGAGAGACAGAAAGAGCGAGAGAGAGAGAGACAGAAAGAGCGAGAGACAGAGTCTCAAAGAGACTGTACTTAATTTTCTCGAGACGCCGCACAGGAGGCGTAGGGTTGAGCACACGCGTAGACCATCAGCCTCGCTTCTTAAAGCATTTTAGATGATCGTTGTAGGAGAGCAACAAGGTAATGTGAATTTCCAAGACAAGCGAAGTTCGGATGTATCCAAAATCACAGGAGATAGACAGAGAGAGGAAGTCCGCAAGAAATGGTCGTGTACATTTGAAGAGCGAGAGATATAGAAAGAGGGAGAGAGACAGAAAGAGCGAGAGATGTACTTCATTTTCTCGAGACGCCGCATAGGAGGCACAGGGTCGAGCACACGCGTAGATCATCAGCCTCGCTTTTAAAAACATTTTAGATGATCGTTGTAGTAGAGCAGCTAGGCAATGTAAATTTCCAAAATAACCAAAGTTTGTATGTATCCACAGGAGATGGACAGAGAGAGATGAAGTCCGCAAGAAATGGCAAAATAGCACGCCAGAGGCCCGAGAGATGGAAAAGACAAGCACCGTATAATCATCCACAACATTTCGTGTTACGGACTTATCCGAAGTGTCGAACCAGTATAGACCCTTCAGTTCGAACCTTCCCCTGTGCTTTTTGGGACACTTTTTAAGAAGTATTTTTTCAGAGAGAGAGAGAGAGAGAGAGAGAGAGAGAGAGAGAGACAGAGAGACAGAGAGAGAGAGAGAGAGACAGAGAGAGTGTGGATAATCGCACTGAACTTTCTTTTCATGCCGACATGTCGACATGTCGTACAGAAGACGCATGTTCGAGGAACACGCGAAAACCACAAGTGTAGTTGTACAAGAGCTGCAGGTTTTCGTTAGGCGAGAGTAAGCCAAGTTCGGATGCATCCGGGATGACAGGGGAGAGGGAGTCCGAAGCAAACAGCAAATGAGCGCAGTAGATACAGTTGTGGGTGTGTGTGTGTGTGTGTGTGTGTGTGAGAGAGAGAGAGAGAGAGAGAGAGAGAGAGAGAGAGAGAGAGAGAGAGAGAGAGAGAGAGAGA